TTTTTTTTTTTTTTTTTTTTTTTTTAATTTAATAAATGCTTCAGGATCTGAACTGGTGTGTGTGGAGGGGTACAGCTCGGCACAAAAAATTTGCTCCACCGTTGTGTGGTGACCAGCGACACTGATCTGCCAAACAGGTCGAACGAAATTTGTGTGCCGCGCTGCCCGTCCACATATCTAGCGCAAAAAAAAAAAAAAAAAAAAAAGCTACTGCGGGAACACTTCGATCAAATGGCTAGTCGAATTTTGCACACAATAAAAATTCGTCACAACTCATGGTAATTCATTGGTCTGCAGGTAAATCCGGCTAAGGCATTCTTCGAAATCAAATAATTTATAAATCCTTCCAAGTTGTACTTGTGCCTCTTCCACAAAATGAAACGCTTACGTTCAGCAAGCATACTGTTGACCTTCTCCTGCACACGCTCCTGTACGTCATCCAATTGTATATCCACATTTTCAATTATGTCATTGTGTTTGATGACCTCAATTTTTGTTATCTTCAAATCCTTTACCACAATGTCCGTGATGTAGTTCGGAGCCAGCCTGTCATTGCAGTGAGCAGACATGGTGATGGAGAAGGTGGGTTTGCTTCCAATGAGAAAGGCATAGGTACTGATGGGACAAAAATTCGTTCCGATACACAGCTTTAAGAAAAGCGGACCAATTATATGCTTGAAGTGCCCATCCAAAATTAAATTGTACTTTCCTTTTTCATAGTAGAAATGTATATTTGCTATTTTGATGGAACTGATTCCTTGCAAGAACAGCAGAGTGGCATGGTAAAATGTTTTTTCCTCGTGATAAATATGGCCGATATTGTAACAGGGTTCCTTGGCCAAATACTTCTTCGTTTTGCACTTGCCTATGCTGTTTGGAATGAGCGAATGAAAATGGGCCGACTTGAAAAAGTTGTTAAGCCTTTTATTCACTGCATTCATGTTGAAGCGGAATATACCTTCCCTCTTAAAAAACACCATGAACGTGCTGATGAAAATTAACACAAAAAGGAATCCATGCACCAAAATTATCATTCTTGATATTTTTTCTGAATTTCCCACGCCTAGTAATTTCCTCAGTAGTCTTTCCATAAGGCCGCCAAAACCTCTTCCTCCTCCTCCACCTCCATCACCACCTCTCTTGGTCTTTTTCTTTTTCCTTTTCTCCAGATGGAATAGTAAAATGGATTTTATAGGCATCATATTTTTCAAATATCCCGTCGGGTCACTTTTAAATGTTGTTCCTTTTTTGGAGTCTTCCCCTGATTCCGTTTCGTCCATTTGATTTTCTCCTCCAGAGGTAGTTACCCCTCCATCGTTTCCGTTTTCTGCTTTAACCGGGGCGTCTGAACTTTCAGAGGCCACCGCAACAGCCCCTACACTGGGCGAATTATTACCTTCCTCCTGATCCTCCGCCTCTGCTGAGGAGAGTCCCTTTTCACCGCCACCCAAACCATCACTGGGGGTACTTAGCGGAATGTGTACTGTTCCGCTGTTCACAAAGCATTCATCTTGATCAGGGCTTCTCACCCCTGTATGTTCTTCTCGTGGCATTTCCGTTCCCACGTCCGTTCGCACTTCCCTTGTCGCTACGACGGTCACTGCGGTTGTCCCTTCAGTCGTCGCTTCTGTCCTCGCTGTGGTCGTTCGAGCAAGACGCAGTCGTCCCCCCTCCTCGTCGCTAACCTGGGAGCCCCTCTCCGACATAATGTTGAACTCGATCATCTCATCATTATCCACACGCGTGTTTTGGTACCCCAGACTGGTGTCATTTTCGTACACGCGGTACATCATCATAGTCTGTACAGTGTCCGTGCGCTCTTTCGTTATGTGATTGTGCTTTATCGTGGAGGAGAAAAAGGGTTCCTCCTTCTTCAACAAAAATTGAAAAAAGTAAGAGTAGATGGGGACGTGCCAATGTTCGTGCTTCTGAATATTTAAGTCAACAATTTCACTGTAGCGATTATTTTGAAAAAGCGCAATCCTCTTCTTCGTCTTCTTCAATTTCTTCACATACAGTTCCCACTGAGTGACGTACAGGTTGATCGACAGACACAACAATCCATACACAACGAATAGTAAAAATTTGCAAAATTTTATTGTATTGCTTTTGTATAAAACCAATATGTTTAAATTATTGGTGTGCTTGACAATTTGATAAAAGGTCAACAAAGAGATAGAAATAATTTCCCCCAAGGATATATGCATACAGAAGGAACATATGGTGGTGAAAAACACAGAGACTGAAAAATAAAAATTTAAAAGCCTACTGAAAATAAAACTCGTATTTATATCTTCACTTTTGCTACTTGAAATGGTACTGTTATTTGGAGACGTCAGATCATCCGACGTGTTGGATAAACGATCATTTTTTTCAATTTCTTTTTTTATATATAAATAATTGTAACGCTCTGATACCATCATCTTCTGATTGTCTTCCACCTCAGGACTGAAGACCAACTCGTCGTCATTCATTGCACACATCTTCTTGTACCCACGAGAAAAATTTACATAATATAAATTCATAAATAATACACTCAAAAAAAAAGACACTCCAATTATCACTGGGAAGATAAATGGTAACATCACGAAGAACGGGTAAATATAACTTCTGTTTATTTTCAATTTTAAAATGTTCAGCATGTCAATGAAATCGATTAAGACCCCTTCCACGTTGAAGTTGAAGTAACTCAAATATATGTATATGCCAACCATGCTACATTCCACCGCTGTTATTAGGTATACACACAAACAGAGGAACAAGAATAGGAAACAGGCATACCATATTTTGATCTTATTTAATCTGCAATGATGGAAATTTGTCTTCAACAAGGCGTTAAATTTTTTCTTTTTTAAATATATATATGCTTCATTATTTTTCATGACTTTGTACAGGTAGTTTATATTGTTTAATGTTTGAAGCTTGTTATAACATAAGAGTTGTTTCTCATATCTTTCGTGTGGTTGAAATTGTGTTGTTGATTCTACATTTACTTTTTTTGTATTCACCACTCCTCCTTTTTCATTCAAACTACTATTTACATCTTCATGATCATATCCTATCATCTCTCCTTCTCCTTTCCAATTACAACTCCCTTTCTGCATCCCTCCATTACTATATTGAATTACACGTTGTTGTGCCCCTTGGTGATGCACATTCGGCATGGGCACATTATAACGAGGGTACACTGTACGCTGATACACTCCACGATGATTAATTATTCCTGTTGCTCCTGCTACATGATCTTCCGACATGGTCATCCCTTCGTGGGAAACTTTCTTTTTCCCGCCTTTCTGCTTATTCTTTGTAACACCTGTCAAGTCCACTCCCTGTTGTAAAGTGGAATGATCCTGTTGTGGGTCATTTCCTCCATCATTACTTCCATGCTCCTCACCTTCTTCAACGTTGTTTTCTCCCCCCACAGGTGTTAAACGAGTTTTATTCCCTTTACCTATGGGTGAGTTGTCGTTCCCGTTTCCCAATTGTGCATGGGAAGCCACCCCTTCCCCCTTCACACAATCCAACACCCTGTTGTCTCTCCTATCCTGCTGCAGACTGTTGCGCAAACTCAAACGCTTCTCCGTAGGCAACGCATATATTTTTATGTTTCCCCTTTTAAATATACTAATTTTAAGTGACGTGAGCGTAAGGAGGAAGAAAGACGAAATGGTAGACAAGAGACAATAATTTAAAAAGTGATATGCCCCATTTAAAATCTTGGCCTCCAACAAATACAAATTTAAAGAGGACACAATGAACAGCGAAATTAAAACGTCCACAAATTGAAATCTTGAAATGGAACTTAGGATGCTAAATTTTTTTAAAATAAATTGCTCATTTTCATTCACTGTGTTAATAAAAAATATGTCATCTTCCTCTTCTTCCTTTTCTTCTTCCTCATGCTGCAAACTCAAATTATATAACTTGAAGAAGCAGTAAAAATTGTCACTCACCATTATTAATTTTAAAATGGGGATGATTATCGAAAAGAACAGCAGCATGCCCATGTTGAAGTAACTTTTGCTCTTGAACAAAAGCCATATTGACTCCAGGATGGAATTCTCGTACACCTGCGTAGTGTCCGCTATTATATCTGAGGGGGGGGCGGGAAAAAAAAAGAGGGGGGGCAATTAATTCGGGGTTACTGCAGAGAGGTGTCTCGTGCACACGGGGATGGATTTAGCCGTGAACGCCGCACGTCGCTCCACTTACTTCCGTGAAAGACGATCTTGACCGCGGGGTTAATAATCCCATTGATGAAGAAAAAGTAGGACATGTAAAACAGAATGAAGGACAAAAACAAGCTGTTGTTAATGATATAGATCTTCCTCCTGTTCGAAATGGTCAGCTTGCGTGCGATATGCTCCCTACACTTGCTGAAAAAATTGTTCACAAACTGCACCATTTTTGAGGACGGGTTTTTCGGGAACGGGTCTTTTTCGTGCGCAAGCGATTTACGGGCAACGGCGGCATATGGTTCGAAATGCGCGACGCATAACTCATTGGCGTTTGTGGACGTTCGCCTCTTTTTTTTGTGTGAGTTTCATTGTAGGCGCGAGAACCTCATCGGATTTGAGCTTTTATGTTTGATAAAACAAAGAAAAGCTCAAATTCATGGTTTAGGCGAAAGGGGTGCCGCACGCGTACATGCGAACGTAAAACACAAAGATATGTAGAGAGAAGTGTCAGCACGCGTGGTCCGTGTGCTGTCAAGCGGATGCGAATGAGAACAAAGTGGGGGTGAGTCCTCCCAGGCGAAGGTTGCTTGGCGGGTAACACTATACTCAGCCGATGTTGTTTGGTTGATACTATTACTAAAGCCGAAGCCGCTCGGCGGATAGCACTAGGAAAACACAAACAAATTGCGCATACCCTCTACGGGCAAACAGATGCACGATATGTAAGGACTCAAAAAACACGCACCTCACGAATGCTTTTAAATTGTACATATGTCACCCCTAGGCAGGGGAAAAAAAAAAAAAAAAAAAAAAATAGATGGAATCAAAAAAGTTAATTCGTGGCCGTGAAATGTAGATAAACCTTTCACGTATATATATACACTGAGAATACAATGAATTCTCTCGTATTGTAGTTACTGCTAAGCATAATTATTATAATTATAATAATTATTATATACTTGGCAGAATCGCATAAAAAAAAAATCTCCAAGAAAAAAAACAAAAAAAAAAAAAAAAAAAAAAAAAAAAAAAAACGAACAGGTAGAAATAGCGTAACTGGCGGCCGCGCAGCATCAGAAAACATATATTATATCACGTGCATAATCGCATAATGTCATGCGCATATATATTTTGTTCGGGAAAGCATTTGGCAAATCCCTTTATAAGAAAAAATGTAGAAGATGGTCCAAAAAAAAAAAAAAAAAAATTGGCGTACGCAGATATAATGCGTATAGTTACCCATAATAATAAATACAATAAATATTTGGAATGGTGGCGCGCGCCTAGGAAATGGTTTCGCTTCGTAACGCACTCCTAAACACTAACCGCTGTGCGCGTGGGGGAAGAAGAACATCCGCGCAGGTTGTTACCATTGTAAAAAAAAACTGTGCACTTTCGAATAAGTACGTCCTACGTAAAAGGTTTTAAACAGATGATCAGTCCACCATGCGCACGGCACACTTAATAACATATGCAATCGTTTTTGCTACATCCATGAACGACCGGCCAATCAGCAAAATTTTAGGGAGAGGGAGAGAAAAAAAAAAAAAAAAAAAAAAAAAAAAAAAAAGGGCAATTATCCAATTCTGTAATTTTTTTTTTTTTTGCTGTCGTAGCCATTTGGAACAAAAATTTCGCAATTACAACGTTGCTCCTATTTTCACGTTTACCGTTGCACAGCCTTTTGAACCAAGTGACACAAACACACATACACCTTAAAAGGGAGGAACGCTGAAGCTGCCCCCCCGTTTGGGAAAAGTTCCCGCAACAGGAGGGGGTGGGATGGATGTACACATATATACCAATAGTCGCAACTTGAACGAGAAATTTGTCTTTCATGGAGAACCTATTTTCATGAATATTTATTTTTTACAGTTGTGCGAACTAATCCATCTGTGTTGTAAAAAAAAAAAAAAAAAGAAAGAATGGCTCCCTCTGCAGAGGCGAAATTTCCCTCGCAATTGAAGGAAAAAAAAAAAAAAAAAAAAAAACACCGCGTTGGCAAAAGAAAAAAAAAAAATGCAAAATGAAAGTAAACGGATTTGAACAAATGCAAAACGGTAGTTGGAACAAAAAAGGGGAAACAAATCCAAGTTGGACACTGTAGAGAGGAATGTACAGTCCCCGGCGCGTAAAAAAAAAAAAAAAATTAAACAAATGCCCAAACCTGATTGTGGAATTCATTTTTCCAATTGTTTGCAAAAAGGTTAAGACGTAGCAGAGGTGGGGGTGTATATTTTAAAAAGTGGTACTTAAAACCTGTGCCCCTGCTCAAGTTCAGCTCATTTAATCAACTTGCTCGGAAAAGGTGTTAGTTCATCACTGTTCGGTTAAATGGTTTGAAGAATGGAGGCCAAACCTCCAGGGAAGTGTTTCAACCTTTGGAAAAGCAAACGTATGTTACGCTTCCGCGTGTTCGCAGGTGGCGGCTGTTCATATAAGGAAACATCCTCGTGTATGCGTCAAACGTGCGGTTTTCCCGTCCAACCTGAGGACCTGTGTTCGTACCGTCTCCGCAAAAAAAAAAAAAAAAAAAAAAGCAACATATACGATGCAGTTTTGTTGCTAAGTTTCACCTCTTTTTTTTATAACACCCCACAATTGCGCTGGAGTGGCATCCATTCCTCGCAGAAATGAACAAACGGGTTTGCAGAAATCCGACCGGGTGAATTTCACGTGGTGTTCACTGTTCCCGGATGAGGCACCTTCTCCCCCTTTTTTTCCTATTCTCCAACGAACGGTTAAAATTACGCACCAGCGCAAAGTCCAGACTTATCCCCTCACCCCCCTTGTCTATGTTGTTTTCCAATTTGGGAATGTTCGCATAAAGCACCCATGCACACAGGGTAAAAACAAAAAAAAAAAATTATTTCCTGTTCAGAAAAAAAAATAAAAAAATTACCCCTTTTTAACTATTTCATAGCTATTTTTAAAGCTAGCTGGAACAAAAAAAAAAAAAAAAAAAAAATACATCTAAATATGTGTGCATAATTATGAACTCACCTATGCGCACAATTATGTTTCCCTCCGCGGGAACGCGCAAGTTCGATCTGCACACAGAATTAATCTGAGGCCTGCCGAAGAAGTACACTCCCCTCCATGTCGCGTAAGCACTTGTACGTATGTCTCTGTCTATATGTGTGAATATTTGTGAACCCTGTCCATGCACAGTAAAAGGAGAATGCCCGCACATTTTTGCATTTATTGGAGGGAAAAATTAAGAAACCCCTTCCGAGTTTCATCGCAGAAAGGTCTACATTACTTACAAGACAAACGTGCATGCGCGCAGTGAAACGACTTCGCCTTTTTTTCTTTATGTTTTTCCCCTAAATTACCGCTATAAATTGTTCAACATGATTTACTCGTGCCTAAGTAACGCTTTAAACGAGTTCCGCTTAAGTGAAGAGCAGATCATCGAAAATTTCACGCGCAACCAAAATGGTTCGAAGCAGGACGAACCACAGTTGGTATGTGCCCCCAAGAGGGACGACGACCCCCTGAATGAATACCCTCACTCGCACCTACCTGAAGAGGTGGAAAAACTCAGAATGCCAGTCTGTGCACCTGGTAGAGGTCTTCCCCCTGCGGATCGCGTCACACTTAACTGCAACAATTTCGGTAATGGGCAACAGACCAGTACATTGGCTTTCCCCCCCCCCCCACACACACACATACACTGCATACATGCTCTCCTCATCGTTACATCAGCCGAATGAGACAAGGCAAAAAAGAAAAGAAATTTTCAAAATAAACCCCTCGTTTTCTTCCATCAGATGACCCCCTCAATACGGACTACCCCGTTGAAAGCCTTCTACGCAAAATCCGGAACTTAGAAAATGAAAAAAAATACCTACTGAAGTCTTTGGAGAATAAAAAAAACGTGGAATTAGAGTATAGGAAGGCACTCGAGACACAGGTAAAAAGAGACAGCAAGCGGGGCGGGTACCAATCGGGTTAATTACTCCTCCAAAGGGTGACACCATTTGGGAAGACCTTCCCTCCCTATGTGCAAGCCACACAAGTGAATCACCCCAATGGTGTATATCACAAATGAATTGTACGAGCCGCGAAACAAACTAAATGTGCCTCCCCTCCCCTTTACACACACAAAAAAAAAAAAAACGTGCAGGCAGCATTCGTGAGCGCAGAGAATAAAAAGTCCCACTTTTACGAAAACGAATGGCTGCACATGAAGTCGAAAGAGCATTCATTCATGTAAGAGAATTAAACGGGAAGAGAGAAATTAATAGACTAAGAGACTTCTTCTTTTATTTTTAAAGACGCTCTCTCCCCCAGTTTGCATTCCTTCCGCTTTGCAATTTCGAATGAAAAGTATTTGTCCATCATGGTCGTATGCCATACATGATGGGTGGTAAGTTGCCCCTCTGCACAAATCTATATAGCGTCGAATGGACTGCTTTTTCCCTTTTCGAAGGACCTCCGGGAGAGCCCCCCTGAGGCAGACGCTGGAGTTGTTTTACGAAGATGATGACCTGTACAAGGTGAGTCAGGAAAAAAAAAAAATGAAAAATGGATCGAGGGAGAGGGATGCAAAAACGAACAAGTAAATAATGTCCCACTTCCATCACATGCAGAAATTGGGAAGCCTCACGAGCACCCAGCAAATCTTCGTCGCTAACTTGATCGAGGATCATAAGAACTTGGCCCGCGAGAGGAACTCCATTTCGAAGAAGTACCAGGAGGCAGTGGTAAGCCTGCGTATGAATATGAGGGGGGAGGTTCTGTACATAAGCACATTGCGCCCCATGTCACGTCTGTTCCCCTTTCATATGGACGCGCAACAGCTGAGTGACGGATACCCACCCACCCTTTCCTTCAGGACGCCAACTTCCAACTCTATCAACAGAACGAAATGCTCAAGGCGCAAAATATAAACCTCGTGGAAAGGAACAAGGACGCGATAGATCATCAAATGGTACGTGGTGAAAGGGAATGTGATGGAGTGCAGATTTTGTAAAAATGCCTCATCTTTTGTGTTAAAAGGCATATACACAGCTAAGTCAAATTCATTCCTTCCGTTTTTTTTTTTTTTTTTTTACACACCCCTTCCCCTATCCTAACAGGAAGAAAAATTAGTCGCACTGAATGCTTCACTCATTCATGTCCAGAAGGAAAACATACAACTCAGGGGTGAGTTACCAATTGGTCTTTTTACCACAAATGTGTTATGCACTCCAGTTTGGTTAATTGGGCTAAGCCATGCGTACCGTCTACGCACTGATGCAATGCACAAAAACGTTCCACCACCCTCCACGCAGAAAGAGTAGACCAGTACACACAGCTAATGGAGGATATAGAAAAATGCTCCGAGGTAAATGCAGGGAAAGTCGCCAATGGGACCATTCCCTTTTAGTGCACCTTCCTCGCTTTAAAAGTGCTCCCGACACTCCCTTTAGTTTCTCCTTCCTGCCCCATCAGGTGAATTCCATCAAGGAGGAGTTGAACAAGTTTAAAAAAAATACTTGCTAATATGAAACGGAATGGGTGTGCGAAGCGGAGATTCCAGCCTGGTGTATTGTTTGTGTCCTCGTGGCCTCGATGTCAGAAGAAGAAAAAAAATTTCGCAAAGAAGCGTAATAGCGCAGTAGCGTAGTAGCCCAGTTAACTGCGCAAAAGAAAGCTACCCATTTTGCCGACCCACAACACGTGAAGGATCTCTAACCACGGATGGTCCTTCTCCCTCTTTGACTTCATCCCTTTTACCAATTTAGCTGGCTTGTTAATTGTTACCCCCTCTCTTTTGTCTGTACCTGCAGTCGGAGTGATTATTCTATACTGCATTGTCCACTTTGCATCGAAGTGTCTTTTTCATTTTTTTTTGAATCAATTGGCTTATCCGAACAGGGGCACTCCCATATAAGCTGTCTCACAGGACTGAACACGTGATGCAGTTTGCATCTCCCAAAATTGATTTGCTTTCAATTAGTACTTAATAAGTTCCCACCAACTGGAGATCCACCACCCCTTACGTTGGCATTTACACTTCGGAGCGATTTGAAAATGTAATGATGTGGTAGCTCCCCCCCCCCCCCCCCTCATCTGGTCAGCATCCCAGTCATGGATATACACACAACCAAGTGCCCTTTTGTTTATCCTTAAGAAAGGGAAAACGTCGTACCACATTAATATGTAATGCACGTATAAGCATATGAGGGTTCATTTACGCTGTGCACGTTGACCAGAGTTCCTCCTTTCCTTTTAAATGAAACGTTGAATGGCTAACCAGGATTTGAAATGGGATTCCCCGGTGGAGCAAGTGTAAAAACGCTACGTCTTGTTCCCCTTAAAGAGTGATGCAGCATTTGTGCACCTCTCGTCGAGAGCGTCATCGATGATCTGCTCTCATATGGTTTGCTTTAAAAAAAAAGGTTCATCAGTTGGGAAAAAAAAAAAAAAAAAAAAAAAAAAAATTGTTTAATTGGGAAGACACATTGGTGAGGGGTGGCAAACAAGGCAGGCGCGGCAAACGGGGGGAGAGACCCCCTCGTCTGTAGGATGCATCCAACTGGGCCCCGCTTCTCCCCTACACCATGTCCGCGAAGCAGTAATGAATCAGCGCCTCCCTTGCGTTCTGTATGCGCGTGAACGGGTTGGGGTCCAACAGCTTCAGACACAAGTCGAGCACATCGGGATGGTCGTGCCAAATGAACGGATCAAAGTTGGGCTTGGTGTGAATTAAAATCTTCTTCTTCAGTGAAACTGGCATATCATTACTTATTTGAAAAGGAAAACGACCATCCATCAGAGCATACAAAATGACGCCACAAGCCCAAACATCATTAGCTGTTGATATGATCCCATCTAATGATTCAGGAGACATGTAAGGGGCCGTTCCACATATGACTTCAGATTTTCTATTAGGACTAAACTTGCTGGACATGACCTTCTCCATCATGTCCATGTCAATTAAGCACAGATCATTAAATGAGTTATTTCTCTCCTTTCTTCTCCTCTTCTTTGTTTTATAATTTTTTGTCAGCTCCCTAAATGTGGAGCATCTAGTTCCTTCGTTCTTTTGAAACCTCAACAGGGAAATATTTTTCTGTCCCTTGCTTCGTGACAACTTGTACCTCTTCATAAGGAGAGGGGAATGCATGTAATTGCCTTCATGGCTCATTCGATTAAAGTTGTTGTGTTGCCGCCCTTCCACTGTGCCGTAGTAGTCCTCTTCCCTGTCACACCCATGGGAATGAAAAGAGTTTACTGTTATAGAGGACTGTTTGGAGATGTCCGACGAACCTTCAGATGAGCCGAAAAGCTTCGAGTGGGTGGACAGCACGGTCGACGTGCGTCTGCTCGCTCGCTCCAGCGAGGTGCGCGCGGGGACCTCATGCGAGTAGCACCCATGGGATAAAACATCACTGGAGAGTGCCCCATTGGAGAGTGCACTATTGGAGAGTGCACTATTGGAGGACGCCCCGTTCGAGTACGCCACGCTGGAGGAGAATATCCCGCTTGAGAAAACCCCATTCGAGTACACCCCACTGGAGAGCAGATCGCTGGGGATGGACTCCCCGGAGGTGGATCCACCCGGGATTGCCTCACTGGGAGGTCTTCTCTGCAAAGCGCCCTCGGAATGGGCTGCCCCCGGGAGCGCACCAACACGGGCACAGCGATTAATACGATCTAGACGGTCTATACGGCCTGTACGCTCCGGACGCCCCGCGGCAATGTCTGCCCCCCCCTGCATGCCGCTTCGCTGCACACCCCGCAGTGTGCACGAGCCAAACTCCTCACCCTCGTAGTCTCTCTTCCGCTTCCTCTTAAACATAATATTTTCTAGCTTTATGTCCCTATGGATGATATTGTTCGAGTGAAGGAAATCCACCCCCAGCAAAAGGTTCTTCATAATATACTTAATCTCATGAATGTGCAGCGACCCAGGAACCAAAGACATGAAGTAGTCCAACAGAGTACACCCCTCACAATACTCCATTACGATAAAATTATAATTGTCTTCACCAAACACGTCATATATGGGTATTACATTTTTGTGTCGATTTTTTTTTAAAAATAAATACTTTTGGAAGAAGTCGTTCATGTGATCTTCATCCCTGTCTTCTCTCACAATCACCTTCATTGCGTACATCTTCTTGTTAAGCACGTTGATACATTTATACACTTGGGATTTTTCTCCACAGTATATCAACCCCACGATGCAGTAGATCTTATTGTAGTATGTACACTTGGAGTGCATGCACATGGAGGAACTCAGTTCGCATGGGGTCGTCGTCGTCATCCCATGGGCAGCATCCTCCTCGTGAAGCTTGGCCCTTCCGTCTTTACTGTTTCCTTCCTTCATTAGGACTGTCTTCTCCTTTTCGCACTTATCCTCCTGCTTCTCGACCTCTTCACGCTGGTACTGACTTATCACGTACTGGGATGCTCTCCCCTGTTGGCCATTGTGATCCTCTGAACTGCCATTGGATGAGAAGCAACTTTTGTGGAGCCTTTCCAATAGACTTGTTTCCTCCCAGTTTTTGGAGTTCAGTTTTTTTTTCTTGTTCCCTCTAGTTTGGTTGATCTCGTCCTCGTCTTCGAATAGAAATAAGAATGGTCCTTGGTGCTCTTTTCCCACTTGGCTTTTCTCCCTCGTCGCGCTGTGTCTGGAGTGACTCCTAAAATGCCTACACTTCCTATTGGCCGCTACCCCCGTCTTCGTCTTCTTTTTCGTCTTCCTTTTGCCCTCCTTCTTCACGCTCAACCACTCCCTCTTCCTGTCACTACAAAAAAAGGCGCTACCAGTTTTTTCCGCTGTGATAGAGTTTGCCAAATGACCCTCACACAGCGCCTTCGTCCTACCAACACGCGCTTCTTCCGTACCATCTACACGAGTATCTCTGCCACTGCGCCCCCAATATGGATCACCGACTGGGGAGGAACAGATCTGATTGTTCCCACCAGAAATGCTTTCTCTAAATGTACCTTGGCTGATCTGCTTCAATTCTTTCTCTGCCGCTAAGTGGAGTTCCCCGTTCTGAGGTACCCCAAACCCATGAGAGCTAAACAGGGTAGGACAAAAATGATCATTGGAGCTCCCATTCGTGTGCCTGCTTTCACCACGCTTCGTCCACGAACGGGAGGGAGGGAAATGTCCCCCAATTTCCTCCCCAAGAGAGGAAACTCTGCCGCATGTGCTCGCCGCTTCGTTTTTCTCCTTTGTTTTTTTTTTTTTTTTTTTTTTTCTTCTTCTTCATCTTCTCTACTGTTTGCTCCTCCATTTGTCTCACAAATCCTTTTTCCCCGTTTGACCCCACAACCTTGGTGATACTCTTCCCCGCCCCTGTGTAGAGGCACCGCTTGTCCTCTCCCCTACTGCGCAAACCATAACCAGAGTTACCCCTAACACATGTTAACACCCGGTCTAGACTTTTGTATTTTTTTAAAATGGAAAAATTAAAATGTTCGTTTCCTAAAATAGGGACGGATGATGACCCCTGGATCGTTTTGCGGCAAGCCAACGAGAGACATGTCTTTGCCTTTTGTTGCAGTTGGAGGGTCCTTCTTCCATTTACTCCACCACTAGATATACCATGACGTTTCGAATATCCTACCACTTCACCATCATCATTACGAGACACATTGTTTGGCCAACCATTTGGAACTTCCTCCTTCGATTCCCCCCCGTCGGATGGGGTTGGCGACTCCACAAACTCACTGTAGCAGAAAATGGATTTCTTCTTTGTAATTCTCATCAATTTAAATTTGTTATAAAAGGTACCCGTCCCGAGTTTTTTATTTTTTTCCCTTCCTTGTTCTCTCCCATTTTTGCAGCTCCACTTGTAGAAGCAGCTGATGTCGTTATATGATTGCCTCAACAATTCACCCTCCATTCTTGAGCCTCTACTCTTAACCCTCCTCCTACGTGACTGCACCATCTTCTCACTTCTCCTTATACACTCAGCGATGTTACCTGCACTGGTGTTTTTTCCCCTACTGCGTAATTCGCTCGTGGTCACTTTTTTGCAGGAGGGAAGCATCGAATCGCTGTGTGCCTTTTTCGCAGGATTGACATTTCTACGTAGCATTTTTCCTTCCATGTGTAAAATATGTTCTCTCTGTTGGAAGGAAGACGACGCACCCTTCGCCTGCAGGGGGTACTTCTCAACAGCGGTACTGCCTATATGTGCATCTTTTTGTCCACCACTTCCTCCCTTTCTTACTGCACCTTCGGTGTGCAATTCTTGTGAACCCTTCTTTTCGTTTCTTCCTGCGTTGTTGTTCCTCTGTTTGCTCTTTAAAACGGCCGCGTGCTCTCCATAACTGAACGAATCGCTTCCTGCACGTGTGTCTTTGTTACGCATACAAAATCTGCAGTTGGAACTTTTTTCCTGACCTGCCTTATCGTTCGTAGGTGCGTCATCGGGAGAGAAGACACAACTACCTTCTACAAGGCGGTCATCACTCCAGGGAACTCCACTATCACATACACTGCACGAACCGTTGCTGGAAGTTTTAATGGAACATTTGAACAGCTTGCCGCGGTTCGTATCCACGTGCGAGGGGTCAACATTAGTGGTCTCTTGTCCGAGACAATAACTGCTGGGGGATGTTTCCTCCGAAGATGCTTTCCCTTTTCTGCTTCGTGCAATAGGGTCCCCGTCTCGATGACTCTTCATAGCATATGTTTGGCTCTCATGCGAGTCGCCCTCCTGCCTTTTGCCAAAGCGGCTACTCACAATCCTATTACCAAGACGACGCTCTTTCAGGAAACAATTTATGAGGGCACTCTCCGCAGGGTCTCTCCTGGCAACCTCATCGATGCGCGATTCCCCTGCTTTGGCTCCTCTTGCGCCATTTTTAAAGGCGTAGTTACTACCCTTCCTCCCTGGCACCTCCTCCCTATACAATTTACACGATTCTGCATCTTCATTCGAGGCAACTTGGCATATTTTGCTAGTGGACGAAGTGCTACTGTTTTCCTGTGACGACTCACACCCTTTCCTTAGCAGCCTTTTCCAGATTAGGGAATTCAGGCTGCACTTAACTGTATATTGCTCATCATCTGCTGGTAGCCCAACCAGACCTGCGGCACTAGCGTCCACGTTTCCTGGTTGCTTATTCTTATTAATTAAATTGTTATACTTGTAGAAGCTAATCAGATTGGTCTTTTCCTTCCCTTTTGTGTTCCCACCTGGGGGGGAAGAACTTTCTTGGGCGCATACTTTCCTATTAGCAATAAAAAACCCAGTCACCGGATTCACATTCTCAACTGGGTCATTACAACATCGTAGAAACTCTGTGCTGGTTCTTGTCTCGTCTAATTTACCAACTCCATCACAGGTCTCCACATTTTTTAACCTCATTGATGACTTGTTCAGGCAGTCATTGCAGGGGGGGAGATTCAACTCCTCCTTCGAAGACAAGTGGTCCAAATGGCGACAATTTCGATTGCAGACCAACTCACCACAGTTACGTGTATTCGTCGTATGCTTTAATAATTGCAAATATTTGTTTTTCATATTTTTTTTTTTAATTGCTTCCTTCGTACCACTTCCATGGTCCATACGCCTACCTGCGCATGTCTTGTGTTCGTCAATACTGGTAGAAATAATTTTGAGGTTCTTCACCGCTTCATACTTATCCATTAGGGAGTTCGGCCAAATACGTGCGATTAGAGGTGCGCTGTTCGATTGGGAGATGGTTTTTGTTTTATACGATTGGACGTGGGTAGTGGGCTTCTCTCACTGTGCAGCCTGCCACCCCTCGCATATCGCCCTCAAAATGAAAGCCAGGTTAAACGAAACAGCCGCGCGAAAAAAAAAAAAAATACATTTAAGGTGCTCGCTGGTGTGTACACTCAGCCTTTTCTTCCCTCCACAGGCGTGCTTTCAACCTGTTGAAAGCAATTACTTGTTGACACGCAAATCTGCAGTTGTATGCAATTGCGTGTAGATGTACGTGGACATATGTACCCTTGCGTCGGTTTATGATGATGTTTAGAGGCGAATACGCTTTTGCGTGTGCGTAACCCCGAGCTCAACTTAAAGCATGTTCCTCAATCTGTGCCCAGTGGAAAAAAAAGTGTTCACTTGGCACAGGGGAATACACTTTTTAAGCAAAGGGGATAAACTTAACGGACACGCTGACAGGCAGACACGCACATAGATAAAAAAAAAAAGTTAAAAAACAAAAATTGCAACTTTATAATAAATTACAAAAAAAAAAAAAAAATTAAGACCTTAATAATGGTAGCCAACGGATAAAAAAAAAAAAAAAAATTAATTAGAGCTTATACAGTAGCTTCATGGTAGGTAGATAAGACGCAGGAATAGGAAATGTGTTTAAGTTAAAACGAAGCAGCGGCATAGGACAGATGAAAAAACGTAAAAAAAAGGAGCACTTGGCGGAACAAAAAGAAGCGGCGCATGCACCGTCAACACATTGAAAAAAAAAAAAAAAAAAAAAAAAAAAAAAAAAAAAAAAAAAAAGAAACAAAGAAACAAAGCAACAAAAACAACAACGAAAAAAAAAAAAAAGCCACGAGCTTTTGATAATTTCCCTAAAGCGGAATACGCGCTGGTGAACATGCGCAGATCGACTAGGTGTGAATCACAGTAGTTCACGTCGGAGCAGCACAATTCGTAGCCCCCTCCCCGAACAACAACACATCAAAATTGAATACAGTTTTTCCTACGTACACATAACGCTACTTTAAAAAGGATTTCTCCAAAAAAAAAAAAAAAAAAAAATGTTTATGCAATAAAACGGCCTTTTTATAGGACCATAAGTTGGTTGGCGTTGAGTAATGTGGCACGAGGATGTATAAGAAAAAAATACACTCACAAGCAAAGGGGGTTATTCAAAAACGCATTCACGTACCAAGGGGTATGCAATTATAGACTCGTTTACACGCGAATATGTATATAAATACATTCTTGTGGGAAAGGACAATTCCTAAAAAATTCTGCGTTGCACATTTCCCATAACGGTGGACATGCGTGTCCAACCCGCAGCGGTGTGTTTAAAGCTAACTTGTTGGGAAAGGGCAACTCGGTTGTGCTGGTGGAAAAAAAATTGTATGAACGTCTACACTGTGAAAAAGATTATGGCTAACTATGCAACAAAAAAAAAAAAAAAAAAAAAAAAAAAAAGTTGTTCATATGAACTGTGCATATAAAATGGGCATATAAGATGTACAGATAAAAATGTGCGGATAACTTGTGCGCAAAGTTGTGCGTAAAAAATATGCGAAAGTTGTATAGCCAACCGCACAGCCGAATGAACAGCCAAATGTGAACGTGAACACAACACATATATTCTGTTCTTAGTGGCCTCTGCAAGATCGATCATGCACAGATCGCACGGGAAATTTTAACAAAAGGATCTTCGATCAGTTGTATGGGTGTGGTGGTTCATTTGGGTTATTCATCCACCCCTTTTTTTTTTTTTTGGCAGCATCGGGAATGATGTTGTAAAAGCAGGGACACACAACAAAAAACAAAAAAAAAACGGCTGTTTCAAGTTAAAGGAGGCATAATTTTCACATAAAAAGGGGTGTGAAAAGAGCTAGCGAAAAAAAAAAAAA